GAGCCATCTACAAAAAACTTTTCTCCTGTTGAAGTCCGTTAAACGCAAATGATGAACTTTCCTGACTCGATAAGGTTTGAATTTTCCGTCATCTACGTATCTAACCCAGCTGTAAAGGATTTTTGACTTGACGCTGGGGCCTCAATCTGCCTAATCCCCAGGTCCCGTCGTTGGTAACCACAAGGGTCTCAATCTGCGTACTCCCAAGCAGATATTCTGCAAAGAGTAAATAAAACTTTCCGAAAGCTCATATGATCAATGAATCATGAACATCATAAACATGCTAGGGAGAGGTGCATTTGATACGCTCGAGTATAGGTGAAACCACCTAACCCTCGCCTCTTATGTGAACTCATGACTTTGTAGGCACGTGTGGCAGATACCCGACGGAAACTAACCCAGCTAATGTCGCGCAGAAAGCTAAAGTAAAACCATCAGGCACCTATAAATAAAAAGCTGAAATAAATTTCATTTGGCCGGGACAACCTCTGATAGACCGGTTTCGGAGTACTAGCTCCTTGTCAGTACCGAGAAGGTCACTTCAGACAGAATGAAACGTCTGACTATCCCGAACAAACAAAATTAATTCCAACTAGTCAAAAGCTCTATCTGCGGTTGATTCTGTAGGATATATCACATACCCCGGGGTGCAAGTCAGAATGATGAACATATTCCGGAGAGGTTCAGGTAAAAAACACCTTTCCCCTTGCCTCTCATGTGGACCTACAACTAATTGAAAGTGATTTTGTTTGTTCTGGATATTCAGACGGTTCACTCCATCTGTAATGACCTGCCCGGTACTGACGAGAGGCAACTACCCCGAAACCGGTCTATCGGTGGTCGTCCCGACCAGATGAAGTTAATTTCTGCTTTATGTATATAGGAATTACTTCTAAAGAATCCTACAAAATGAAAGACATTGCACAGGTGCCCGATGGTTTCACTTCAGCTTTCTGTGCAGTATCAGCTGAGTTAGTAGCTGTCTTTCCGTCGGGTATCTGCTACACGTACCTACAAAGTCGTAGGTCCACATGAGAGGCAAAGGTTAAGGTGTTTTTCACCTGAACTTGGGTATTTTCTAGTGGTGTCCATATTCTGGTGATATCTGGAGTTTTGCAAATAGTCTACTTGTGAAACTCCAGACATCACCAGAAGATAGCGAATGAGTATTTGCCGTAACGTGAAAATAATCCTTATGATGATACAAGCACAGAACACGGGGCAAAACCAGAGAAAACAGCTGATCATACTTTGTCCCTGATAATTCAGAAATATACTGGGTAGATATAATTTGTCAATATTTCATTTCAGAATATTGGTGGATCGTTACAATAAGTTCAAAGCTAAGGTTGAGTTCACAGCTGATTTGCCGTTATATGAAAAAGAATATTTCATGCCTCCTACCGAACAATACTTTCTGGTGGACGAGTACTTGGACATGGGTAAGAATTCGAAATGTTTGCGCTATATCGGGTAATCCAAGTCCGGTGCACTATTAAACGACTTTAGAGAATAAAATGCATATCGATCTCTAGACTTGTGATAGCTATGAATCAATCTGATAATATTTTGAGAAATGCTGCACCGTCAGTTATCAATTTATTTTGAACAACTTTCATTCNGTGCTTTCGAAAGATTTCGAATATTCTAGAAATTCAGAGAGAGCGAAATTTCCAGCCCCTATATCTTCTTCATGAATACTATAACTCTCTCGATCATTTCTCGATGATAGCTTATTGATGGTAGATATATATCAACTGTACAGGAAGGATTGTGGGTCGCGTGCAGGTGGATTATGTATATATGCACAGAGCAAGTTATGTACATCACTCATATAGGTCGATGACAATACTGAAGAACTATAGATTAATTTGAAAGTAAAAAAAGAAAATGTTGCCGTTGGAGTGGTTTACAGACCATCATCACTTACTTATTTTCCAAATGAATTTAAAGATAGGTTGAGTATTATTTCTTCATCTTTATCACATGTCCTATGTACAGGTAACTTCAATATCAATTTGCTCAACTCGACAAATTCGTACGTTTCCAACTATTATCTATTTTGGAAACACTCGATCTAACCCAAATAATTGACTTGCCAACGAAAATAACAAAATCGACTTCAACCTTGTTTGACTTGATTATTGTATAAGATAGAGATACAGTTATAGAATGATGAAAGTTGGGGATAGGGCACTTAGAACATTCAAAATTACAAGAAATAACGAATTACCTGAATGGAAAATCAGTTTTACCGCCGACACAATCTGGATTTAGAAGAGGACATAGTTGTACTACCGCCTTGCTACATATAGTCGATAATATTCTCATATCTTCAGATAAAGGTTTAAAAACAGCCCTGATACTTCTCGATTTTAGTAGGGCATTTGACACTATAAACTATGGCGTAATAATGTCAATTTTGCATCATATAGAAAAATCTGAAGATGGTGTTGAATTCTTCAATCATTATTTGATGCAAGATATCAGAGTATGACAGTAGGAGCCAATCAGTCGAAGTTTCTCGAACTGAAGGTTCAATCCTAGGTTCACTACTCTTCTCTATCCATACCAGCCCTGGCACATTGTTCTTCTCATCTATATGCAGACGACACCTATATCTACATCCCTTTCAAACCTGAAGACGCTGATAATTCTTGTATACAAGTTAATAAAGCCATCAATAATTTCGTTGAAACTGCGACTGATCATTGTCTAGTTAACAACTCCAAAAAGTTACATGTTTTAAACTTTGGAACAAAAAATGTCAGGGAGATAATTGAAGACAAAATAAAAATACTTGACAAGGACCTGTCCATGGTGGATCAAGCAAAAAGTCTGGGGCTTATTTTCAAAAGTAATTCAAGATTCGAAATCCACGTGAAAAAACTTATTCAAAAGGCGTATGAAACTCTTAAGGATATTTATGGAAACAGTAACTTTTTTACAAAGGCAATAAGATGTGATAGTTTAGTTTTGTCTACCCTGATGAATTTTGCTGATTCAGTGTACGGTCCGAGCTTAAATCCAAAAGATTCAGGACTCATGTTTATGTTTCATTCATGGAGTTCGAAGGCGAGAAAGTATTTCCAATAAATTGGTTGAAACAGGTTGGTTGAATATGGCAATGCGTAGGCGGCTGCATGCAGCGTGCTTATATACTCATAACGAAGATTCCGAAAAAAATTCATTTCGAACCGATGTTCATACAATCAATATTCGATTTGAAGGTATTTCAACCCCACCAATTCTTTGAACGGTCCTTCAGTTATCAGATTGGTTACGTGTTCAACGTTATACCAAAAGATATTGAATAAATTAATGAGATTAGTTTTAAGTACTACTCTAAGAATGTTTTTTGGAAGCAACAAACCAAAAAATATATATTTCAAGATCCTTGAGTTGTTAAGAGTCCCTGTTATTGTCTTTTTAACTTCTGTATTATAGGCATATTCCATAATGTTCAGTAATCCTGAATTATTGATTTGAACTTCGCCTCTGACGTCAGTCCTAGGATTAGCATTAATTTTCTAAATGTAAGAAAAAATGTATGTATCGTAGATTCACAGAATAAAGACACAATATTATTATTATTTACAACTATAATGCATGGTACCAAAATCGTGTATCGATAAAAACACCGTTATCTGACTGTAGTATATTGATATTTATATGTCCAACATAGATTTCCAGTTCCTGTTTTTTAAAAATTTGATAAATACATGTCCGGGTTATCTCACACGAAGATAATGAATAATCTATCTACATTTTTATATTTTCAGTGATACAGTATGGTTTTGTGGTATTTTTCGTAGCTGGTTTTCCTCTGGCCCCTGTTCTAGCATTTGTTAATAATCTATTAGAAATTCGTGTTGATGCTTCCAAAATAACACAAAGTTATAGAAGGCCAGTTCCAAAACAATCTGCTGGTATTGGACCATGGTTTGGAATCTTACAGGCCACTACATACATTGGCGTAGCAACTAACGTAAGAAATGATATTGAATGAATTAAATATTTCAAATAGAGTTTCAATCCTTTTCCAGGCATTAGTCATAGCATTCACTAGTAACTTCGTGCAGAAAGAAATTTATAGGCATTCAAAGGACTCTGCTCATAGTGGATTCATCAATACAACCTTATCTGGTAAGGGATTACGAAGTATGAATAACCGAAGAGCGGTGTGACTTTGCCNGGTCTCTCACGACATATCCACTGCTAAGCAAAAGTATCAGTAAGAAATCTACGAGCGGTTACACTGTAATGAGCAGGTGCCCTGTCGTGCATAAAACATATATTTCTTCTTACCAGTATCCTCTAACAATTTTGGCAAAGTATCTTCTTGAAATTGTCTTTACCTACGTTACACTATTGGGTTGAGGAGGAACAAAATGTGGCCCTATGATTTCATCACCAAAAATCCCCGCCCAGATGTTCACCAAATATTCCTGCTGAAATTCACTTCATACAGTAGTATGAATATTCTCGTAGGTCCAAGAATGATTATTGTGAAAGTTTATGATGACAACCCTCGAAAAAGCTTGCCTCATCTGTGAATGAAATTTAGATTTTGTACAATTCTTTGAAGGAACCACTGACAAAAATCCAATCGTCTACGAAAATCTCGCGGATACAGTGCCTGTGACACCCGTTGCTTGTGGTATAGATACAATAAATTTGTATGCAAAATCTTCCAAACACTTCGATGACTGACACTGAATTGTGAAGAAAATTTTTTAGGTCCTTGTTGAAGAATTGCTATCAGCTACTTGAAGAATTGCTTCCTCTAATTAATATGGTGTCATTGATGAGAATTACATATCACTGGAGTTCTGTCCCAACAACAAACCGTTATTTTCAACATCTCGACACGTGTTTCAATCACCAAGTGATCTTCGTCGAAAGTTTAACCTTCCACTTGAAGATGATCACTTGGTGATTGAAAGACGTGTCGAGGTATTGAAAATAGCGGTTTGGTGTTGGGATAGAACTCATTACCACACCAAAAGTTTCAAACAGTGCATCACAAATGAATAAGAATACTTAAATACTACTTTATTGGATTCTTCAAGATCAAGAAATTATAAAGGATACGTCAACACGTAATTGATAAAATTACAAGAGAAACACATATCATATTCACAAAATTGAAATTGCAACTATACATATACACAGAACTATCATTAGAATAGATAACACAACATATTTAAAAAACTCGTTCACAATATAAAAAGTTTTGGTTAAAAATCTTTGATCTATTTTTTTTTAATTCTCTTACAGTTTTCATTTTTATTTCAATTAGGCAATTCATTGAAAAACTTTGCTTACCTATGTAGGACTACTATTGAATATTGTATTTGTTTTTGAAGTCTAATTAAGTCACCATATTCTGTGGAGTATCTGTATGCATTTATAAATTTACATGTAAGGTACACACATGATTTTTTTGTAATGAAGTATTGCTCACACGAATCGCGAGAACAAGGTTTAAATACAAGTCGCCTTCTGAGAAACAAAAATGCTTTTCAACTCAGTAGAGCAGTCCCAAATTGTAATATTGTACGATATATGTGACTGGACAATAGCATAATCGACGTTTGTTTGAAGGTGGTTGACAATGTTCCGTAGTGCATTTCATTAGTTCGGACTTCCTTTGTCTAATAGGATTTATCACATATAGTCCGTAGGCATACTTGAAGACTGAATGTAAATCAAATCATCTGAAAAAACAATTTGTTCAGGCCAGTCTCAACTNAATGTTGCAGATTGGGAAAGTACGACAATAAAATCGCCCGATCTTTGTCAAGTTCGTCTGATATGATACCAAACATACCATCTATAGCAACAAGAAAAAAAGGTAAAACTACGAGGCAAAGGCATTGTTGTTCGAGAAGACCTTACAAAAGAAAAATTGAGCTTGATGAATCTGGCTCTGGAAGAAGCTGAAACGAAAGATGGAATGCTGTGGATCACCAATGGAAATATCTTCATAAAGTTTGAAGACAACGTCGTTAAAATTAGAAATGAAGAAGACACCACAAAAATTATTTATGAGTTATTTTGAGCAAATGTTTTCATTTGTAACTCAAGGAATGCATATATTTCAATGTCTTTGTCAGTACCAGCAAAAACTGATCAACTGTTTGTATACATATTTCTTTTCCTATTTTTTTGTTTTTCTCTTGTCTGTAAATATGTTCATATTTATATTATTTCTTTCATTCACTGAATCAAATTACTTTTTTCACTCCACCAATTTTTGTTAACTTAATTTCTAATCACGTTCATTTTGAAACAAGCCGAATATTGATATGAAAATCGGACATTTGAATATAAGATCGCTGCTGCCATCATTTACCGAATTGAATTCAATGACATTTTATGTATTAGCGAAACCTGATTGGACGGGAGAATAGATGATAGCTTATTGGTGGTAAATAGATATAAACTGGACAGGAAGGATCATGGGTCGCGTAGAGGTGAAATATGAAATTTTGAAATATGAAGTTTTTAAAAATATTAATTTTGAAAAATGGAAACAGTACTGTGTTCCTTTCAGTTACATAATACAAAATTATAAAAGTAACAAACGTATACTTGACGGTATTTATAGGAGAATAATTGTTTACATATGCTGAAATTGAAACAAAGAGAAAAAAGAGTCTTTGTGTCACGCTTGAAGAATTACGTATTAGCAGGTATTGATTCTGCAGCTTCAGCGTTGGCATTTGATCTTGTTTACTCCATGCTCCCTTGGTTATGAATGGAGAAGGCCAATAAACAACATATAACTTCATATATGCACCTAGCAAGTTATGTACATTACTCATACAGGTCGATGACAATACTGAAGAACTATAGATGGATTTGAAAGTAAAAAATATTGCCGTTGGAGTGATTTATAGACCACCATCACAGAATTATACTTATTTTCCAAATAAATTTAAAGATAGGTTGAGTATCATTTCTTCATCTATACCACATGTCCTATGTACAGGTAACTTCAATATCAATTTGCTCAACTCGACAAATTCGTACGTTACCAACTATTATCTATTTTGGAGACACTCGATCTAACCCAAATAATTGACTTGCCAACGAGAATAACAAAATCGACTTCAACTTTGTTTGACTTGATTATTGTACAAGATAGAGATACAGTTATAGAATGATGAAAGTTAGGGATAGGGCACTTAGAACATTCAAAATTACGAGAAATAACGAATTACCTGAATGGAAAATCAGTTTTACCGCCGACACAATCTGGATTCAGAAGAGGATATAGTTGTACTACCGCTTTGCTACATATAGTCGATAATATTCTCACATTTTCAGATAAAGATTCAAAAACAGCCCTGATACTTCTCGATTTCAGTAGGGCATTTGACACTATAAACTATGACGTACTAATGTTAATTTTGCATCATATAGGAAAATCTGAAGATGGTGTTGAATTCTTCAATCATTATTTGATGCAAGATATCAGAGTGAGACAGTAGGAGCCAATCAGTCGAACTTTCCCGAACTGAAGCTGGGAGTGCCACAAGGTTCAATCTTAGGTTCACTACTCTTTTCTATCCATACCAGCTTTGGCACATTGTTCTTCTCATCTATACCACACCTATATCTACATCTCTTTCAAACCTGAAGACACTGATAAGTCTTGTACAAGTTAATAAAGACATTAATAATTTCGTTGAAACTGCAACTGATCATTGTCTAGTTAACAACTCCAAAAAGTTACATGTTTTAAACTTTGGAACAAAAAATGTCAGGGAGATAATTGAAGACAAAATAAAAATACTTGACAAGGACCTGTCCATTGTAGATCAAGCAAAAAGTCGGGGGCTTATTTTCAAAAGTAATTCAAGATTCGAGGGAAGAGTCCACAAAACAAGTATTTCATTGAAATGTATAACTACAATGAGTTAGTTGAAAAAACTATCAAAGACACAAAAACAAAATTTTACGACAATGAATTTGAGAATGCAACTCCCAAATCAATGTGGAGATCCATTAACAAAATTTTAATTTTCTAGGCAAAAATACGAATTGAATGACACCTTGGTCGTAATTTTTGGACAGGGCTGAAAAATGTCACCAAAAAGAGCTAAATCGAGTACATGTGAACCAGACTAATGCGTAGGCGGCTGCATGCAGCGTGCTTATATAATCATAACGAAGATTCCGAAAAAATTTCATTTCGAACCGATGTTCATACAATCAATATTCGATTTGAAGGTATTTCAACCCCACCAATTCTTTGAACGGTCCTTCAGTTACCAGATTGGCTACGTGTCCAACGGTATACCAAAAGATATTGAATAAAATAATGTGATTAGTTTTAAGTACTACTCTAAGAATGTTTTGTGGAAGCAACAAACCAAAAAATATATATTTCAGATCCTTGAGGTGTTGAGAGTCCCTGTTATTTTATTTTTAACTTCTGTATTATAGGCATATTCCATAATGTTGAGCTTGTGTAAGGTTAAGTGGTAGAACAAATCAGTAATCCTGAATTATTGATTTGAACTTCGCCTCTGACGTCAGTCCTAGGATTAGCATTAATTTTCTAAATGTAAGAAAAAATGTATGTATCCTAGATTCACAGAATGAAGACACAATATTATTTTTATTAACAACTATAATGCATGGTACCAAAATCGTGTATCGATAAAAACACCGTTATCTGACTGTAGTATATTGATATTTATATGTCCAACATAGATTTCCAGTTCCTGTTTTTTAAAAATTTGATAAATACATGTCCGGGTTATCTCACACGAAGATAATGAATAATCTATCTACATTTTTATATTTTCAGTGATACAGTATGGTTTTGTGGTATTTTTCGTAGCTGGTTTTCCTCTGGCCCCTGTTCTAGCATTTGTTAATAATCTATTAGAAATTCGTGTTGATGCTTCCAAAATAACACAAAGTTATAGAAGGCCAGTTCCAAAACAATCTGCTGGTATTGGACCATGGTTTGGAATCTTACAGGCCACTACATACATTGGTGTAGCAACTAACGTAAGAAATGATATTGAATGATTTAAATATTTCAAATAGAGTTTCAATCCTTTTCCAGGCATTAGTCATAGCATTCACTAGTAACTTCGTGCAGAAAGAAATTTATAGGCATTCAAAGGACTCTGCTCATAGTGGATTCATCAATACAACCTTATCTGGTAAGGGATTACGAAGTATGAATAACCGAAGAGCGGTGTGACTTTGCCACGATTTTGAGATATTTTTCATAATATTTTCCTGATTATCAGAATTATCTGATTATCAGAATTATCGGGGTTCATAGGTATTGTACTCACTCTGATGCACTTTAAATGTTTTTCTCATCAAGGAGTTCAAGACGTTCTAATAAGTACTTTAGCGGAATAGGGAAAGGCACTTTATCAGGACTAGTCTCTTTGGGATTTTTCAGTTTGTATTTTTGCAGAATATCTCTCCAAACCCTTTTTTTTGGCCCGTAGTATGCAACATCTAAAGGCTGGGTCAGATGTGTGGAGTTTGGCAGGAGCAACACAAATTTTATATCATGTCTCTGACATTGAACTATTATATTGTGATCCAGGTGGGATCTTGAATCTCTCTCTGCTATTACTCCATGGACTCACTATAGTGTAACACCAGTCCTAGAAGGTAAATTTATCGAAGCACTTCAATTTTGATCTATTATAAGGTGTCTTTGTGGGACAATCAGTAGTATATTGATGGTATAGTCTTTCCGACTCATGAACTTCATAGGACGGTAAGACCTCCATACTGCCGGTTTTCACAAACTCCACAGATATGCACACACCGCCAAAAATCTTGGACCCCCTTATGTTTGTCTAAATGAGACACTATTATCATAAGTCAAGAAGTACATTTAATTTGGTTATATAAGCAACGCAAATTGGCAGAATTTGATTTTAACTGAACAACAACAAAAAAAAATACAAACAAAAAATAGTGCATAAATAATGGTTCAATAATGTTTCGAACATATATATCCCCTGTCAAAGTATCTGGTATGGGAATAAGCTGCGTTCGACTTCTCTAGCAAAAGATCGTCTTTCTTGTCGCCCTGGCCCTCTCCAAACTCTGTGTCGCCGACTATCACTAACTAAACCAAATCTGGTTTCGTCCGAAAAAAGAACATTTCGCCACTGAGCTAAAAGCCAATCTCTGTGTTTCTGTGCCCACTGTAGACGAACGTTTATGTGCCTGGAAAGTAGCCTGGGTACTCTTGATGGCCTCCTAGATTGTAAATTGGCTCGAGCAAGTCTCCGCCGTATTGTGGTACTGGAAATTAATCGACCAAACGTTCTTCTTAAATGAGTCCGTACTGCTGAGACTGTTATGGTTCGATTCTGACGTACATATCCTGCTAGATATCGATCTTCTCTTGCATTACTTACCTAAGACGCCCAGTTTCTCCAGTCAACGCTCTTAGTTTACTGGTACAAATGCACTATTCGGATAGGTGAAGCGCGGGAATCCTTAATCTATCCGCGATTTGATGATTCGGCAGACCCTCATCATGCAAAGCCACTATTCTTGCTCTATGGAGCATTGAAATTCTATTGCCAGGCATAATTGCAAAGAAGAACTCAAGGATCACTTAAACACGCTAAATCGATATGAACTACTTTTTAAACATTGGTATCTAAAATTAGAGGAAATTGTTTTTGTAAACATTTTTGCATGGCTAGCACAGGTGAGAGAAATAAAGATGGAATGTACAAAAAACCAGCCATGATAAAGCTTTGTTTTACAATTTACGAGGGTGGTCCAAAAATTTTGGTGATGTGTGTATATGACTTTGTCAATTTCATCAGTCGTTCTGGATATTTTATTCGACAACATCGGAATATGCAATTGATCGATCTAGGATCACTGAAAAAATAGGTCTCGTCAAAATTCAAAATGTTTTCTTTCAGGACGCCTCTCAAAGAATTGGTACGGTTTTCAAAATATTCCAAAAACTGTTGTTCTCTATTTCGGGCATGTACATCTTTGATATTTTAACAAGATCTTCGAGAAAGTAAATCTTTATGTCTGCTGAAAAGACACCAGTCTTTGCCTGGCAAATTATCTGAAAATTTGATGATACTTTCCCCTGCACGATCTAAATAACGTTCAACTAAGTGGTTGGTGGACTATCAAACTCTGCAGATATTAATGAGATGTCAACTATGTCACGTTCTTCAGCTCCAGATGAAGATGTCTGACCCCCAGCTTTCTGTTCGTGCCTATTTTCAACTTGTTATACCTTGTTTTTTTTTTTGGGAACGTCATATGAATCAGTGGCCACCTGATAACTAATACCCGTAATTTTTACCGTATTATTCGCCCGCAGAAGTCGTTCTTCTGTATAATTGATGTAAAGTTGAGTTCCTAGCTTCTTTTTGTGAATGCAGTCCGTTTTCTGAAAAAAAAAACGAGCATGCAACATAACCTCAATACATGTCTTTAAATAATAACCCAACAAGCCACTTCTTAGAAAGTACTATATCATGCCCACATACCTTATAGTAACTGTTCACTAACTACAGCAAAAATTTCAATTTCGTAGAAAGTTTCACTGATGTCCGTCGTTTGGCCGCTAAAACACATAAGACATTGCCGACACATATCAACAGCACCACGCGGGTGATTGTTGCCACATTTAAAAATATTTCATTTTTAAAACGATTAGTAATAGTTAGTAACAAAGAAACCCTAGCGAGCTAGCGATGCAGATTCACATCGTTCTATTATGTAAGTATAAGTGAATATTTCGCATGCTATATTTTGCTTTTTTTATTGTGTAACCTTTGATTATTTTCACATCAGGAAATATATATGTTTAATGCATCTTTCTCCACAACACTATCGCAGTTCCACCGTATTTTTTCCTCACACATGCGCTCGACCGAAAAGATGGGGAATTCAACTTGTACAGAGTGGGCCACTTTCAAAAGGAAACTTCTGTTTTCAAACTAGATAGATGAAAACAGATGGCTGTGTCTGAGGGTTGAATTTCATGACAAACTTAATGGTGAAAACCGCATATCGATATCTATCATCGTTCGACACGTGTTTCGATCCCCAAGTGGTAATCTTGGTAGTCGAAACAAGTGTCGAGGTGTTAAAATAACAGTTTGGTGTTGGGAAAAAACTCCAGTAATATTCATTAGTACACCCAAGGTTCCAAACAGTGCATCATAAATCAATAGTTATTGATGGAAACTATTTTTTTAATGAGACACCATGTATTTTCTTGCATATATCAAAAGATCTCAAAATAACCTTTCCAAAAATGTAGCACACTTGATGTTTTGCTAGTCATCTTTGAAATACACAGTTTATAGGTTTTTTTCATGTAGACTTTGAAACGCACACTTTGATCAAGTAGGCTTTGGATGATGCGGCGATAAAAGAGAATGCAAATCTTTACCGGTAGTTGTCAAATTTAGATTTGAGCAGTAAAGACGCTCTTCAGTTAGAAGATTTTGTTCAATTTTAACATTCGCATTGAAGTAAGAGAATTATGAAAAATGGAATATGATAGTTGTTCCATAAAAACCAGGAAAAATGCAGAACCAGCAAGTAATTTGTATCACGAGAGGTATCCAGAGAGGAGACAACTTTTTAGAGACATTTTTGCAAGATTGTGACACAACCTGATTGATGATGGTCAATTTGAAAAAAAGGCAAACATTATATGGATTAAATAGGGATAAGGAATTCGAATAAATAGTCGTTTAAGGAGCTGTTGAAAATTATCCCAAAATGTCAACGTGAAATTTGAAAATATCAACAAACCTACCAAGAAGTAACGTTAGGAGGATTAAGAAAAAACACAAGTTCAAGCCATACAGGACCAGAAGAGTTCATCAAGTCAGACCTGGAGATTTTAAACGCCGCATGGCTCTCTGCCAGTAGTTCCTGGAAAGTTGTAACCCTACTCCCGACACTCTACTGAATAGTTTTCAACAAGACTGATATTTTTAGGCCCGGAATACCAATATTTTGATAGATCGCTGATTTGTAGTCAATAGTCAACTGATTCAAACTATGATAAGATGTCTTATAGAGGGTGTATCATAAATATTATAATTAATTTCAGGTGTTGCTTACTTGTGATATTTCATGAAGAGAGTTCGAATGAACGTTTGTCCTAACTTGCTTCGTTCACTAAAAATATTGTTCTTTTATCAATAACTTATGATTATTTTCGCCGACTTTGATTGAACTACATGTATTTATTGTGAGTCTCAAGTGGTTTCTTTTCATGAAATCAGATTTGGAATTTCATTTCCAGTGGCGTCGCAGAGAGTTACTTGATTGATACTTTATGGTAAAAGTCAGTGTACGCCACTGTTTTCGCCGAGTTTGATATTGAAATTGCTACCTATATCGAATCATAGTCAGTGCCATAGAAATAGGGGTTTCACGTCATTTTAAGTCAAAAATGTGTTTTGATTTGAACAACCTTTGAAAAGAAAATCTGTTTGGATTGAAGATGGAAAACGTATTCAAACTGCTAGTTAATTTGTGTTTTATTCGGAAAATGGCGTAGGTGATGATGAAAAAAAAAAGTTCGAAATGAGAACCTTGACTTGCAATAGAAGCGATTTAAGATATCCCCAAAAGAAATTATCCAAAGAGTTTGAATCTGCAGATCAAGGTTGAGGTCTCTCACGACATATCCACTGCTAAGCAAAAGTATCAGTAAGAAATCCACGAGCGGTTACACTGTAATGAGCAGGTGCCCTGTCGTGCATAAAACATATATTTCTTCTTACTAGTATCCTCTAACAATTTTGGCAAAGTATCTTCTTGAAATTGTCTTTACCTACGTTACACTATTGGGTTGAGGAGGAACAAAATGTGGCCCTATGATTTCATTACCAAAAATCCCCGCCCAGATGTTCACCAAATATTCCTGCTGAAATTCACTTCATACAGTATCATGAATATTCTCGTAGGTTCAAGAATGATGATTGTGAAAGTTTATGATGACAACCTTCGAAAAAGCTTGCCTCATCTGTGAATGAAATTTGGATTTTGTACAATTCTTTGAAGGAACCACTGACAAAAATCCAATCGTCTATGAAAATCTCGCGGATACAGTGCCTGTGACACCCGTTGCTTGTATGCAAAATCTTCCAAACACTTCGATGACTGACACTGAATAGTGCAGAAAATTTTTAGGTCCTTGTTGAAGAATTGCTATCAGCTGCTTGAAGAATTGCTTCCTCTAATTTATTATGGTGTCATTGATGAGAATTACATATCACTGGAGTTTAATACCACGAAGGGCGTTGGATTATATCCGACAGGTGTCAGTGCAGGATTCTTCACTGAAGTTATTCCTGCATATGTTGTTGGCGATACAATTGCTGCAATAGATTTTCAATTATTGGAACACACTTGCAGACCGGTTTCAGCCTGAACGAATTGTTCTTTCAGATGATTTGATTTATAGCCAGTCTTCAAGTATGTACACTGACAATATGCGAGAAGTTTTCTTTCCTTATACGAGGAATTGGGCAAATTTCGGATATGCAGTTGGTTACCTCGCTCACAGGCAGATGGAGCGATTACAAACCTGTTGTTGTTGTCTGATTCTGCTTCGCTCGGGAAATGATACTATGAAAGGATTCGATTATCAATTCTCGGAAATCATCGACTTTATGTTAATGATATACACTACCTTGCACTGACGAGTGGCCAAACAGCCCGAAACCGGTTTGCAAGTGTGTTCCAATAATTGAAAATCTACTGCGGCAATGGTATCGCCAACAGCATATGCAGGAATAACTTCATAGGTTTCCGCGGTCAGTAATTTGATCTACTGTTGTCCGGGTTGAACCGCGTCTGTAATTTTTATCGTTTCGACGTTTCGGCTCCTACTTTGGAGCCATTTTCAAGAATCAGTTAGATTTGTACTTTCGAGGAGGAGGTCGTAATCTCCCTTGTCTCCAAGTCTCGTTACTAGCTCTATGTTTGCTGTGTTCCACTCTACGTTCGCATTGGTCATTCTGTTATTCGGGGCCCATACCTGTTCTAGCAGGTATCTGGTTTGCCTGATCGGGTACCTGAATTATTTTCAGGTATCTTGCGTGACAACAATGTCCTCCATGTTTATGGTAGTCACTGCGAATCATCTCGCTTGTTAAGGCAGTTGGGACGTTTTCCAATTTCGATTGCTTCCCGAATCATCGTGGCCTGAAGATTTTTCTCCGTAGCAATGGTCTTGGTGTTTTCTAAGCTTATTGTGTGGCCTGTTTCCTGGTGATGTTTGAATATTCTTCACTGAAGTTATTCCTGCATATGCTGTTGGCGATACAACTGCCGCAATAGATTTTCAATTATTGGAACACACTTGCAGACCGGTTTCAGCCTGAACGAATTGTTCTTTCAGATGATTTGATTTATAGTCAGTCTTCAAGTATGTCTACTGACTATATGTGAGAAGTTTTCTTTCCTTATACGAGGAATTGGGCAAATTTCGGATATGAAGTTGGGTACCTCGTTCACAGGAAGATGGAGCGATAACAAACCTGTTGTTGTTGTCTGATTCTGCTTCGTTCGGGAAATGATACTCTGAAGGAATTAAATTATCAATTCTCGGAAATCATCGACTTTATGTTGATGATATACACTACCTTGCACTGACGAGTGGCCAAACAGCCCGAAACCGGTCTGCAAGTGTGTTCCAAAAATTGAAAATCTAGTGCGGCAATTGTATCGCCAACAGCATATGCAGGAATAACTTCATAGGTTTCCGCGGTCAGTAATTTGATATACTGTTGTCCGGGTTGAACCGCGTTTGTAATTTTCATCGTTTCGACGTTTCGGCTCCTACTTTGGAGCCATTTTCAAGAATCACTTAGATTTGCACTTACATGATTCGAGGAGTAGGTCGTAATCTCCCTTGTCCCCAAGTCTCGTTACTAGCTCTATGTTTGCTGTGTTTCACTCTACGTTCGCATTGGTCATTCTATTATTCGGGACCCATATCCCGAATCATCGTGGCCTGAAGATTTTTCTCCGTAGCAATGGTCTTGGTGTTTTCTAAGCTTATTGTGTGGCCTGTTTCCTGGTGATGTTTGAATTTATGTCTCTTCAGAATTCGGCTCACTTTGTCAGTAACTCCATGGATGTAGGGGAGAAAAGCTTTTGTCTGGTTGGTCTGTTCCTCGGGTAACTCGTGGGGTGGGGTTTGTGTTTGCTGTCGTTGGATGGATCTTTGTATTTGGGAGACGGGATAGTCGTTTTGGTGAAGGGCGGCTGTGAGTTCGTGTAGTTCCCTAGATTTATTGTGGTTGTCAGTGAGTCTTATAGAACGATGTATGAGGGAATTCAGAACGGAATTCAGCTGGGCAGGATGATGATGGGACTTGTCATTGAGGTAGCGGTTAGTATGGGTAGGTTTTCGGTAGACCTTGTGTGAGAAGAAGTTCTTGGACTTTGTGATGAGAACGCCCAGGAAAGGGAGTGAGTTATTATTTTCAACTTCCATTGTGAACTTTAGGTCGGGGTGTAAGGAGTTAATGTAGTTCAGGAAATATCTTCGGATACATGGAGCCATATAACGAAGACGTCATTCACGTATCGGAGCCAACACGTTGGTTAGAGATGAAACGTGTCAATGGCTCTGGTTTCGAAGTCCTCCATGTAGAGGTTGGCAAGGACTGGAGAGAGAGGAGAACCCATTGGGGCGCTTCTGACTTGTTTGTAGAATTTGTCCTGGAAATATATGTGCTGGACATGCAGTAGCTGATGAGGTTCATCGTATCTTGTGGTATTTAATGTTTCCTTTTGAGAAGGCACAAAGTTTCGGATACTGGAATATTTGTGAAAAGGGATGCTATGTCAAAGCTGACAATGATGTCTGTTTGTTGGATATTGAAGGATTGCAGAATTTCTATGAATTAATAGGAGTTTCGGACATATGATGAGGATTGTTCGGCTAGTGGTTGAAGGGTATTTGCAAGATACTTGACCAGGGCGTGTGTGGGTGAACCAAATGCGCTCACCATGGGACGAAGGGGGATGTTTTGTTTGTGTATTTTTGGAAGACCATACATGTGGGATGTACGAGAAGATTTCTCTCTTGGAATGAGAGGTTTCTCCCTCTCAGTGGGAATATTGTAATTGTTGATGAGTGCTTTGGCCTTCTTATCAAGGTATACGGTTGGGTCTCTAGGGGTTATTTGGTATTCCGGAGAGTCGAGTAATGTCGTCAACTTGTCTATGTAGTTTGTGGTATTGAGAACCACCGTGGCATTGCCTTTGTCTGCTGGAAGGATGACTATATCTGGGTTATTGTTCAGGTTTTTGAGGGATTGTCTCTCAGCTGGAGTAACATTGGATTTCGAAACTTTTGCTCTCCTTAATGTGGTGGCGATGTCTTGACGTGTTCTTCAGCTAGGTTTTCAGATAGGTGAGCAATGGCCGATTCTGTTTGGGTAATCATGGTTTCGATGGGAATGTATCTGGGAGTTATGGAGAAGTTGAAGCTTTTAGACAGGATGCTGAGAGTGTTATCATCCAATGGGGTATTGGAGAAGTTGTGGACTAGGACGGGGGGATTGGAAGCGACTGGCCGAGGTGTTTTATAAGTGAGTCTAGCTTTTTTACCTAAGTGGCGGTTTTGTTGTCACTGATGTGTTCGGCTTTTTCATGGTTTATCCTGAGAAATGTGTCCCAAATCACTGAATGAACTTTTGAATTCGATAAACGTCCGTAACATTGGTATAAACTTAAGTTGGTGTAATGTTATTGGCCATTACACCATACAAATGAATTAGTTATACTCCAACTATCAGTTTGAAAGTAAATGCGTCAAAAACAGTAACACATTTCCATTGAACATCGTAATTTACGAGTAACAATTGTAATAATAAGATTATTTGTGCCAATCCCCAAATCAGTTTGCATGGAAGGTTTGAACAATTGAATTTGGGTAGGGAGAAAATCTTGAGATGTCTCGTTCGTCATGAAATTAAACCTTTTGAACTGAAGTTTTTGCACACATGGAAAAGATATTGCACACATGGAAAGAAGTTAACGAATATAAACGATTAGATTACTGTTATTGGTCCCAAGGAAATTTTGCAAATGACAGAAATTCACTGAGAAAAATTTTGTTCACTGATGAGGCTACGTCCACTACCAATGGAATAGTATCTGCTCATGATTGCAGATACTGGTCTACTGGAAATCATCACTGGGTTATAAACTGTAAGGACCGATACTGTCGAAAAGTTAATGTATGGTGTGGTATTATAGGCGAAAGATTTATTGGGCCGTTTTTCTTCTACTATTAACGCTGAACGAACATTGGATTTTTTTGATAATAAATAATGGAAAATCATTCAAAATCTACCTCTCGATATTCGACAAGAGATGTACTTTCAGCTAGACAGAGCTTCTGTTCATAATTCTTGGATAGTAGTTAAGTGGTTAAAGAAACATTTTCCATTACGTTGAATTGGTAAAAACTCCATGTGAACAATGACCTTCTCGCTCTTTTGACATAACTCCAATGGATTTTCACTTCTGGGAGACTGTCAAGAATAGGATTCACTAGTCTAGGCCACGAAATCGACAAGAACTTTGTGAGAGAATAAGGCTAGCCTGCCGTAAAATAATTATTCCAGAACTTAGGAGAGTGGCCCATAATGATAAAAAAAGAATTGAAAATTTTATCAGGATTCAGGGTGGGCTAGTTTCAATATAAGTGTCTACTTTTTAAAATTTGCTATCAATTTTGAGAATGAATTTTGACAATGAGATATGAGTTCAAATATATAAATTTCTCGACAGTTTGCAGAAATGTAACTGAGTTGTTGTGAGTCATGTACTCTTTTTTTCCAGCCCAAATAAAAAATCAAGCTAAAAATATTATTAACCAGATAGAGATCCCGAGTTATATAGAATAAAAATGTGTTTACATTTATGGATTACTTCACAGATATTTCCATTTATGTTCAATTTATGTTCAATCATTTTTCATGATGATTTCCTATCACATAGTAACAGCCTACATCCATCAATTCATTAAATGGTTTTCTCAATTCATTTCATTTTTTAATTTATGTTCAAATATTTTTAATGTATGTTTATGTTCATTGTTTCAGCCTATGCAACTAAAGATTTTGAAATACTCAGTAGATCTATTAAGACTCCGAAAATCTGCTTTTACCCAGGAAGAAGATATGACCCAGATCACGAACAAGCATATGAACTCACCAAAGATTTTTGGTTCCTTTTGGCAATACGATTCCTTGTCGTTTTGGTTTTCGAGGTGAGAATTGATGATCTACTTATATCCAAAACAACAACTTTTTTCTAACACCAGCATTGCATCACCCTTCTCGATGCGCGTTTCGCCAACCAAGTTGGCGAAAACGATAATTTAGTTAGAGAAACGCGCGTCGAGTGATACAGTTACGGTGTTTGAGTAAAGTGCTTGCTTTGGTTTTATTATACGCCAGATGTTTCAGTTTCAACTTTCATCTGTTTCTGTTTATCTGTTTAAAATCTGTTTTTCCGGTAACCAGCTGTCGCTGGCAACCCTCAGACGTCGAAACTTGTGCGAGTTAAGAATTAACGAGGTCTTACCTTTTAACGTGTGATTCCTATCACGGGTTGGACGATAGTAAGTGAAAATCGATCGATCAGCCTGGGGCTTGAACCATCAACCAACACGGTGGCCGATTTGAGTGAGTGAATAAAGCACCCACGTCGAATCGACCGGCTATCTACCTGTATATTTCTCAAATAACAATTCACTTCTCAACTATGAACATAAAAGTTTAGTCTACCTTTCAACTCATGAAATCATTGAGAAATATCTTAACGACAAATGATCAGTCTTATGGATCTTGATACATTTCTTCATAAATTACGTCTTCAAAAGTGGTACCTTTAATTTTTCAATCAATTTGTGGTAGTATCTATTTTTTCATTCTGGATACTTTTTTTCGGCCAGTGTAGCTGATTAAAAGCACGCTTTTTTATAAATAAGTAAAATACTTCTGTTTGAAAAAAATCTGTTTTTCCGTTAATTAGCTGTCGCCCCATACGAACGACAACTCTCAGAAGTTGAGAAACTTGTGCGAGCTGAGGACTAACGAGGTCTTACCTTTTAAAGTGTGATACCTTACACGGTATAATCGTTTAAAGAGAAGAAAATCCAGACTGGTAGGACACGGTCGGTGATACCTTTTTTTTAAATTATAATATAGTTGCCGTACAGTAAACTTGAATTTATGAAAAAATTAGACTTCGAATTAGGGAAAAAATTATTGTAGCTGATTGTCTAACATTTATTGTGATCTTTGAGATATCTGGATTGGATGAAAAGTCGCGTGGAAGCACAGTGAGCAGCCGTGGCACCACTGCGTTGCCATGTCATAGAGATGAAATCCGTGAACCCAACAATCCAACTCACACGGAAAGGGGAATCCTAAGGAACTACCACCCTCATCTGACATGGCAAAAAAATGAAAATATTGAAGAAGAAAGAAAATAAATAGATATTCCTGTACACACGCACGCACACACGCAACCCACACATATACACATACACACGCTATGTCAGAGCTATTTTTTTATGGACAGAACACTACAGGAAAATTCTCGAAGCGCTCTAAGACCGGTGCCTGTGCGAAAGTAGTGATTCACATTGGATTTGAACCGCTGGAGATTCAATCCATTTGGACAAACGTGCTCAGGAAGTTTATACCACCTAAACGCAGTTCTTCAAATGAAAGAGTTCTTGAACAGTGAAGTTTGAGGTGTATTGAACCTCAAAACGATGAGCAGCCACAGTCCGTCGCGTATTTCTGATATGTATCGCTCTTAGTGGAATCAAATGTGCCAAATTACTTGAACACTTCCCATGAAAGTATCTATAGAAGAAAGACAAATCTCCAACCTTTCTTCCATGTTCCAGAGTATCAAGGTTGCAAATGAGGTTCGCGTCTCCAATCAGGCGGATGACACACACACACACGGTCTGCTGGTTTTTATGCTTGATAATGATGATATAATAATAATCATAATTATTGTTATTATGATATCACATATACATGCATACGTAACATAACAGAACATAAAATAACATTAAAAAATGTGTTTCAATAACACAGTGTTCTTGCCCATAGATCACATATTTTCTATGATGGTATGAATAGTCAATCAGCACTCTCGCTAGTATAAGACTAATTATGTATGTTAATTATAAAGTTAGTGCCTTCTCTGATTGCATGTTCGGCTCAATAATTTGTCAGTATACCAGCGGCGCCTGATGTTCCGAGCTATGTGACACTTCAACTCGCAGTACAAGAAAGACGGAACAGAGAATTACGAATGAAAGCTCTCAATGAGGAATACATAGAGAATCGTAGGTTAATGGGCTACAGGGACATATTCACACCAACACAAATATCATGAATATGTAATTTTGAATAAAATATCACCCACTAATGAGTTGTTTTCCTTTCACATATAACTGCTTTGATTGTGACTACGCCTTTTGTTACAGTGATCCTAGAGATCACAATAAACTATTATGCTGTGATATCACATATCTGTGATATCACAGCACAGATATCTCATATGATATGATATGATGATATGAATCATCTCCAAAAAAACCTTGATAGGTATCGGATGTGGAGCCCATATAATTCACAATGCTATAAAATCTTCTGCAGACGGCCTACCTTAAGATTACGAAAGCATTATTGTAAAAATATATTCATTTTTTATATTTATACGGTTGGAGTTGAAGCTCTAACGGAATTTTGCGTTGAAGCTGAAATAGAGTATCAGCAAATGCTCGGCTACCGCAAATCTCGCTGGCTTGCGCTGATGCCTNACTCAGAATACAAGTTACATATACAAGTTACTCAGAAGAAGAAAAAAAGAAAAAAAAACATACAACATTAACATAAGTCATTAGCGTTAGTTTTATTGATCCACTTAATGTGTTATCTCGAATTACGTATGAGTTTGTGCAAACAATACGAGATTCTTGAATTTTTTAAAAAATAATTCGATATTTTTAGACTCTTTATATTATCTGGAATGGAATTATAGATAAGTGAAACTTGATACAAAAAAGACCGTCTAAATATGTCAGTTGGATGAGAGGGTGGAGTAACAGTTCCTGTGTACCTAATGTTAATGTTGTGGAAATATTCTCGGAATGAGATTTTACGCAGTAGATAAGGGGGAATTTAATTACTTTATGGTATATACAGGCTGAGTGAAGCTTGCGCCTGTTCTGCATGCTCAGCCACTTTAGTTCATTCAGTTTATGAGATATATGATGTCCTCTTCTGATACCGAATATTAATCTTAGACATGAGTTCTGCATAGTTTGTATTCGTCGTTTGTCTTCGTGGTCTAAACATGGCCCATAAACCGAGGAGCAGTAGTTGAACCTTGAAAGCACCAATGAATCACAAAGTATCGCTTTTACATTTCTGCTTAAGTAATGTCGATTACCATATATATAAGTTTCAAATTCATGAATGCTAAACGACGATTATTTTTCACATGTGTTTTAAATCGTAACTCATTGTCGAAGATCAGTCCCAAGTTTCTTGCTGTTTTAACAGGTGTTATATCAGTGTTTGCTACGTTTAATCTTATGGAATTTTCTAGTAAGTGTCTATGAGTACGTGATCCGAGCAATATGACCGTGGTCTTTTCAGTGTTCACTTTCAATCAATGTTTTTGTGAAAGATACTTGAGAGATGAAATATCTTCATTTATTTTTTCAATAGCGACACGTCTGAGGGTAGAAAGGAATAATTCAACTGCGTATCATTTGCATAAAAATCAATTTCACAGTAACGGATAGAGTTTTTTAAGTCAAAAGTGTAGAGTGCAAATAAGAGTGGGCCAATTATTGAACCTTGAGGGACACCACTACATAATTCTAGTGGAGATGATATATTGTTATTAATTTTGACACTTTGATAACGACCATACAAGTCAGCTCTTAAAAAGGAAATAGTATGATCTGATAAACCAATGAATTTCAATTTGCTTAAAAGCAACGCATAGTCCAAAGTGTCAAATTGTGTCAAAGTGTCAAGTTTAACCAAAATAAACCTGAAATGAAATAATAGTGAAATAAAATACAAGTAAAAATAGAACAATTGAATAATTAAAAATAAAGAAATGAAAAAAGAAAATAAAAATAAAAAGTCGAGAGATTCCAAGTCACGTTAGTTTACGACATTTCGATTGTTAGTATCTACTATCGTCTTCGGGTGATGACTGGACTGATTCCTCCGAGAGATGACTATTTATAGGTCGTTCGAGTACTTTCACTTATCCCCGCTTTCCATTTTCTGCTTCTCTGGTTCCGTGGGAGATGACCGTTTTGGCGGGATTTGGCCATTTTTCGCTTGATGATGGGTTTCCATATGTTGCGTATTTCTACCCTGGCTTGGCTGAATACGTTGTTGTACAACATGTATGCGGCTTCCTTGAATTTTCTCCTAAACCAATATTCCTCTCTGTGCAAGATCTCAGCTTGGGACCACTCGATGTTGTGTTGATGGGTCCAAACATGGTCTGCTATTACTAATTTGCTGTTTTCCCCTCGCCGTGTGTGTTTCTTGTGCTCGGCAATGCGAACATTGAGGCCATTGAGGCCATTTAATTGTTTCAGGGATTTCAAATCATTTTATATAGTAGACAATGGAAGTCCGAACTAGTGAAAAGAAATATATTATGTTTCTTAAGAAACATTTTCAGGAAACAGCTACAGATCGCATCATTTTGATTGTTCTCAGGTAGTAAGCTCCTTGCCAACCTCATTCTCTAGAAGGTATTGAAGTATTGTTTTTCTATTGTTGAACTTGCAAGCATATTCTTCTAATGTGTTATTTTGTGAAAAGTGATAAATTGAGTTGTGAAGTTTTTTCAGAAATATACAAAATGACAATTCAATCCTGAATAGTAAAATCAGCAGCTAGGTACTCAACAGGGATTGAAGTTAATTATCGTAAATACTTGTGCCTTTGTTTTCAGATGAGTGTAATGCGACTTTGTAAATGAACAATAACTCAGTTCACTCCCTATGAAGTTTTTTGCAGTGAGAATGAAATTAACAATTTCTTCAAAAACTACTTCTTCACTTGTTTCTTCAACCATGAAAGTTTCATTTGATGCATGCATCTTTCTGATAATTACTGAGAATTTTTCCTTTCATTATAAAAAGCAGATGTAGTATCAAAACCAATGAATATATGAATGGAAAATAACCAGTTTTTT